GGTTTATTTAACGGGTATGAAGTTTTTTATAAGGATTTGTATTTTACTATTGTTGATATTAGTGATTATAACTGGTCACCTTCTAATGATATATATATACATACATTCTAGGCGGATCGCCTAGGGATTAGCATTTAGTCATAAATTTATTAGTAAATTTTAATGTTATCAGGATCGTAGACAAAAGTTACCAAATAATCAATGGGGTAAACAATATACAACAACACATAGATACACAGATATATGAAGGGATTTTAAAAGAATACACCAAGTAATTCAAAATATTCCTCCCCCCCCTGCCTCATACACATTCCAAGCAACAATGTTTTTTTCTCTCAGTTAAACTGCCAAATGAAAGTCAAACAGGAGACAACATTAATCAATGAGAATGATAGATCTATGAAAGTGTTGAGTCATTCATTCATTGCTAAACGATTTTCTTTCTTAAGTTTAAAAAAAAGCAAAGTGATATAGAGACAACGACACAAAAAAAATATGAAAACTCAGACATAGGTGACAAATGTTCACACACACACACACACATACCCAGTAACTAGTAGACGCCTTAATTATGATAAAGTTTTATCATACTAATGCAAAACAACAACAACAACAACTTAATAGTTGATGTCAACGAACGTGAATGACTAATTGAATCATCATCATAATAATAATATTTAAGGAGAACAAAAAAGTTTATTCGAAACAGACAGTGAAATCATTGTAAGCAAAAAAGATAGATAATGGCTAGCAGTTGAATCTAGTTTGATACGCGTTTTGTTCTATTTAGGATTCGTCAACTGGATGTACCTGTATCTCAGAGTTGATATTCACTGTGGAACAATCACTGAGTACATTAACATATTTTTTTTATAGTAGGAGAGAGAGAAATAGAAGAAAATAAACTTTATTTTTCAAAGAAAAAGTAAGTAATAATTGCTCAGAAGTATTTCATCTTTCATTCGTATATTGTGATAGAGTATTGTTCTCTAAGTTGGATGATATGGTCATGGATATTTCATCGTTCTTCTGAACGACATCATTGTTATATCTTGCGGTCAAGTGGATGCCTAGTTAATGTATGACGTGATAAGATCGTCAATCAAAGAGCAGCGAAATATTGATTGGAAAAGTGATACACGAAAACCGTACGAGCAATCTAGAGTGCTTATCGATCCTGCTTTTACCTAGCTCAGCCAGTTAAGTCGCAAACGCCAATAACAGCCTCTGTGGTGTGAATTATTGTATTTCAAACATACTGAGTTTATATACCAAATAGACTGACCACAACGTTCCAATAAAATAGAAAATAACATTTGTACAAGAGTTAGCCAATGTGGCTGTGAATAACGGGAAGCAGTAATTAATAGACTGGGCATAACTCAGGAATGGTAAGTCGTATAATAATAGTCCAAGGGTCAAAATAAAGATCACAGTGAAAGGAACATGAATATGAGTAGTTTAATTATTTAGCACATATACGATAAAAATTATATGCATAATATGGGTCCATAAATGGATCCCAAAGTTACCATTCACTATTGTTATCGGGCGATAACAATCATCTGCACAAACTTCAAGTTGATGAACTATTGATGACTAGACTTGGAAAAAGAAGAGAATACTTTTTCCTTTTTCTTTTTTTTCGAAGAGACACAAAGCACATTATGCTATTAGCAATAAAACAAGATCAATATTTGGAGCTTACAAAATTAGGTAAGTCTCTTTGAATATATTCCTTACACCACCACCTCATCAGATCACTGAAATATTCACCTTTCGTCAAAGATGCTAAAATATCCCACGAGCATCCTTATTATAGTTTTACATCAACATGTTGACTTTAGGTTAAGACGATAATCGAAAATGAGGGAACACTGGCCAGTTGATTTATTTTAGTATGTGACTTCCTTAGATGTGTATATATACAACGTTATCAAAGATTAAAAGCAGGAGTTTTAGGCTATAGACTCGATATCCCATAACTGATTTTCTTTTAAATGAATTAATTAGACTTACTAATATAAAACATGCTGAGGAGTCCCACGATAGGACGAAACGGCAGTCCAGTACTTCCAGGTTTTCCATAGTGGTCTAGCTTCCATTGATTCATGATCTCAACTATTAAAATTATTATAATATCCACAAAAACCCTTCTGATATTAATCAACATATGCTCACTAGCGACTGACTTCAAGAGGTATTTCCTGAAGTTCTAGTGAGAAGCAGTGACCAGTGGAGCTCAACCAGGTGTACAGTGAAATAGTGACTCAGTACAAACAATGGTGGATGTGTCGCCCAATTCCGTAGATCGCTTGAAGTTAGATATTAACACCGCTGAATCCCAGCTTGCTCACTGGTCTAGTGGTTCAGCACTAGCGCGCGAGACTGATAGGTTCTGGGTTCAAATCTCACGAGGCGGGATCGTGGTTGCGCACTGCCAAGAAGGAGTTCCACAATAGGACGAAACGGTCGTTCAGTACTTCCAGGTTTTCCATGGTGATCTACCTTCAATTGATTCATAATCACAACCAATTAATTTCTTTTATTATATAAGAATCATTTGATAGAAGAGACATAAATGATCTATTTAAATTACATTTCTAAAGTACTTTTCCATTTTGATTAATGTCCTTAAAAAACTTTGATAAATGATTAAATAATAGTTATTTGAAGAAAAACAAAAGAATGAAAAATCAATAGAGTAATAAACAAGGACAAATGAATTGGTAACAATAACAAAAAATAAAGAAAGAAATGAAGAAGAGGTTACGAATTGAATTGACAAAGATTAGATAGAATTTATTAGAATACTGTTTGATTCAGCTTGTATCTTTGTGTGAATATGACAACATAGTAATCCATAAATACGATGTTTCATGAGAGAAACACAGAGAGAGAGAGAGAGAGCAAGCGGAGACAACTGGATACATTCGAGCTAGAGTCGATAGTTCAATACTTTCTAAAACAATCACTATGAACTATTCATATAGACTGGTAGGTCCTGGGTTCGAATCTCGCGAGTGCGGGATCGTGGATGCGCACTGTTGAGGAGTCACATAGTAGGACTAAACGGCCGTCCAGTGCTTCCAGGTTTTCCATTGTGGTCTAGCTTCAATTGACTCATGATTTCAAAAATACTAAGTTCTCCACAAAACCCCCTCTGATCTATTCATATTTTGTTTTACAGTGTAGACTAGACTGGAAAATGTGCATCATTAAAATCCTTTTAATAATTGAAAAACAAACAATTGTTTGTTTTGTAAGCAAAGTTGGATAGTAGTTAGCGGTGAAATCCAGTTTGACACACGTCTCGTCCAGTTCGGGACTCGTCAACTGGATTTGCCTGCATCTCAGATTTGTTGATGTTTACTCTGGGCCTCGAAACCGGTACCTTTCGCTTCAAACGCATTGCATTATCTAAGATGCAGGTACATCCAGCTGACAAGTCACAAATAGGATGAAACGTGCGTCAAGCTGGATTCCACTGCTAGTCACTATCCATCTTTGCTTATAGTACTTGTGAATTAAGGCAATACACACAGTATTCACATATGCCAATAAGAGACTGATCAATTGCAGTCCTAAACATCAATAGGGAAGATTCAAACAAACAATACTAAGTGAATTGTTTGCTTATTCTAATTTCCATAAAGAAAAATCAAGCAGTAGTATTTCACAACTACATCAATGATGGTCAAATTAGTTAACGAGGTTGTGAATCTACATTGGCTGAGATGGTTGGGCCATGTATTATGTATGACCAACCACCGATTACTGCGGCGCTCAATGCTGACTAGTGTTGGAGATGGATGGAAAAAAATCAGAGGCGGCCAAACCAAAATATAGCATCAGTTGCTTACTTCTGGTCTGAGCGATTCCGGTCGATGCAACCTACTTGGGTTGGAGTCCGCATATCTATTGTAACCAATGATTGGAGACTCTGAATGACATGGCTCAGAACAGGTCACAGTAGCGTAGGTGTATACACTCTTTGTCTTCCCTTAAACCATGAGATTCAATTTACTATAAACCTTTCTTTTTATGAACTAATTCTTCCTCCTTGTGTCAGACAGACCGGCTGAAATTACCATAGAAGACAAATGGATCAATGCAAGAAAACAGCAATGGACAACTATTTCGTCCCAGTTCCAAACAGTTTCACAGTTTATCACATCTACGATTCCGTACAACAGTAAATCGAAAACCTATGAGGCGGTACAAAATTAATCCAATATTATGTCATGTCATTCAAGGTCTCTAACCATCCATTGCGATTAACTCGCGCATCCCAACCAGGTAGTCTACACTTACCTACCAACATGGCTCAGTTCATTTTTCAGTGACTTCATGGATTTGTGCCATTTTTTGGTTTGGCTGCCCCTAGCTTTCTTTCAACCTACTCTCCTTCACCATAAAACATCGCACGTCGAGGCAGTCGGTGGTTGGGCATACGTAACAGTAACGAAGATTACATACAATAGGATTCAAGAAAAGACAATTAATCCAGGGATTAAATAGTATAAAATTTTGAAAATAGGGATATTTTAGTCAATAAAAAGTAAATGAATTCGAGTCATTTAGACAGATTATAAATCATACCACTCAACATTTTAAACAATTGATTACAATGATCACATAGATCCTAATCAGAATGCCTGCATCTACGAACATGACTAAGATCAACAATCAACAATATCATGAACTGGGGGGTCACGTTTTCGTTTGCCCATGAGTAGTATTCTTTCAACATATTCTGATATCAACAAGCGTCTTCTAGGTCAGTGGTGATTGGACACGCAAGATACATGCATCAACTACCTCAGTCAATAAAGATTCACAAACTCATCAATTGATTTACCACCCCAGCCTAATACTGCTACTTTATGCCTGACGTCAATATTGTTGATTTTGATAAATCCAAACATAAGCGAGGAATATAACAAAAAGCAGTAAGATTTTTTTTCAAATACAACAAAATATTGTAGCAATTAACTTACTATGGATTTTGTTTTTTCTGGACGTGTAGCAATTGGTGGTGGATGTACACCACTACTATTGACAATAATAACATTATTATTATTATTAGTATTTATAGGTAAAACTGTTCGTTGACATGATGGTGTACCAGCAAGTGATTCACGTCTTGGTGTAGGTACCGGAGTTGCAGATCCTGCTGGAGATGGGGATGATTGACCTGAAGAACAATATTGGATAGTTGTATTGTTAGAAATATCAGGAGGTGGTAGAATGCCATCAGCGAATCGCCTTGGTAGACCAGGTGATAAAGGGGGTGGTGGATTATTTAAATGTGAATGAATTTGAGGACGACAGGGAGTTTTTTGATTAGTTTGGTTGGTATAATCTAGATGGGATTGTCTGGAAGACAATGATGATGAAGTTGGTTGCATAACATAAGGAGAAGGATGGGGCGGAATAGAACGACTATTGACGCTAGTGACAGTGTTAAAATTAGTACATGAGCCCATAGTTACTGATATTATTTCATGATCTGAATGGATCTAAATGAAATCAAAAGAAAAAAACGAAAATCAACTCACTGTCCATTATTCTGATCAGATTGAACTAGCTATTTCTTAAAATAAAAATATAGATTTTTAGTAACTTCTACAAATATGATTTTAAATTCACTTAGTATTGGTTGTTTGAATCTTCCCATAGATGTTTAGGACTGCAACTGGTCAGTCTTTAATTGGCATATGTGAATACTGTGCGCATTGCCTCAATTCACAAGCATTATAAGCAAAGATGAATAGTGGCTAGCAGTGGAATCCAGTTTGACGCGCGTCTCGTTCTATTTGGGACTCGTCAGCTGGATGTACCTGCATCTCAGAGTTGTTGATGTTCACTCTAGGACTATAGCCCAATACCTTTCGCTTCAAATGCCATCGCGTTATCTACTTCACACCATTGCACAAGCAAGTGGCTATCAGGACTCAGTAGCTGAGTAGATAACAGGATGGCGTTTGAAGTGAAAGGTACTGGATTCGAGTCCCAGAGTGAACATCAACAAATCTGAGATGCAGGTACGTCCAGCTGACGAGTCCCGGATAGGACGAAACGTGCGTCAAACTGAATTCCACTGCTAGCCACTATCCATCTTTGCTTATAATGTTACTATACAATGTTTACATAACTGATAAAAAAATACTGTACACTAATGCCGTTACGGAAAATCAAACATCTGAAATAATGCCATCAAAAATCGATGCAGTAGTATCTCAGTATTTGGTTTACCAATTGTCTTTATATTCAATAGTCATCTTCACAAACAAGACAAATTCTCAGTGAATGAATAACTTACCCCGGATTCAGTAGCCCCTCGATGAGATGCCATATTAGTATGATGATGATGTTGATAAGAACCAGGTGTACAAGTAGTGTTTCCAACAATGCATGGATGATTATGAATTGCTGGGGCTAATGGAGGTAAGGTAAGCGAAGATTGATGAATTGCTTGGGAATCATATATCGAATTAAGAATAGTTGTGTTAGCTGCGCTATCCATAGATGGATTAGATATTGTGGAGTAATTTAACGCTTGACCTGAAGGACTAAATGATAATTTGTGCGGAAGAAGCGGTGCAGGTATAAGTTCAACTCCATTGATGACGGCTGGTGGTGCTGGCCCACTTCCTGTACTTGAAGAATAACTACTACCTGAACTACAGTAACTACTTGACGGAGGAATAGCTACATTGGAACTACCAGAAGGACTAAGAACCACTCCAGACATTTGGATACCACTGGAACCACCAACACCTCCATGACCGCTACTACTACTTCGACTAACAGCACCACCACTACCACTTCCACTACGACTTCCAATACCTTCACTACTGCCACGACCACTGCTTAAACTGCTACTTCTTGGTCCTACATCAACTGAACATGATATTCTAGTTAATGAGGTAACACGTTCTGTATCCGGTGTACAACATTTAGTACAACTTGATGCTGGTAATGAAAGTGCTTGACTAATATTTGAATCATTTGAACTGTTAATTTGATCAGCTGACGACAGATCCAATGCTACAATGTTGAATTCATTGTAAACGAAAAAAGCACCATTTTAATTAGTCGAATGATTTGTAATAATAACAACAACACTAAAATTCAGTAATTAAGAACAGAACTACAATCGAATGTGTGATTAAACATACAATGGGAAAGCTGAAAGTTATATGACTAATTTAATGGTTGATAGTTGGAATTAGAATCGACAATTGTATCTCTATGCTAATGTGGTATGACAACTCGAACTGATGTACATACGTACGAAGTTCTACATTGTGACTGACTGACGTCACATGGACATAACTACTACATTTTAATATGAATGCTTCCACTCAAATTAGAATACAGTACGTAATATATCCCTTTAAACATCAACGTGTCATCCAATAAACTACTAGGTACAGATAAGCTAATAACTTAGTCAAAGGGCACAAAATTATTTGTAAGGGTTTTTATTTCCCCGTTATTGATATTACGGATAGAAAATGATCAATTCATATTGACATATGTGGATATTGAGCGGATTGCCTCGATATTTACACTTAGTGACGAATTTAATAAAACTGAATTGTGGTTGATAGTTGAATTTAGGACGATCGCTTCATGTTATTTGGGACTAGTTTAACTAGCTACCTGGGCTCAGACTCAGTAGCTTAGAGGATAACATGATGGCTCTTGAAGCAATACTAAGGTAATGGGTTCTAATTAAAACGTAAACATCAACGGTAGAATGCAATATATACATCTAGCTGACAAGTCCGAAATAAGATGAAATGTGAGTACTAGACTTCATTGTTAGACACAAGCCAAATTTACTAAATTTGATGACTAAATGCCAATATTGAAACAATCCATGTATGTTAAGAGGAATCGACCAGTTGCTGCAGTCCTGAATATGAAAAAAATGGGAAAAATGCTAACTCTTGCAAGTAGCTTATTTATTTATTTGAATACATAATTATTGGTACAAGGAAGCACCAGATACATATGCGCCACACAAATCTCATTCGATTTGTGTGAGTGCTGTCATACTGCCCAGGTGCCCAAACTGAAGCAGATGGTTTTCTTAGGGTGCCACACCCCGGAGCCTTTGACCTAAAGATCTAATCCACAAGGCAGTGGAGCATCGTGAGAAGATGCAGTTCCATGGTAGTCAGTGGCCAACAATTGGTTCATACGCCATTTGTTCACTCAGGATACTGGAGCCCATGTGCACTATTGGTTTGAAATCAGGGTTTTCCAACTCCCCTAGGTGGACTCACTGTGTTCACCAACCCGGTTATAGCTCCTGCCGGACATTCGGTTTTCACCATCTCCATTTCGTAAACAACAGTAATGCCACGAGAAGTCAGTGAGTAGGACTTCCCTGGAAGAGGCTATATACGCGTGACCATGTGAGAGTATTTCGAGAGGGAGAGTATACTCTACCAACTCTCGATCATACCAGGGCATTTGAGGGCTACAAGTAGCTAGTTATTTCTATCAACTAAAGACATATCTGATCAATAGTAAGCCGACAATTATCTAGTAATTAGAGCATCAACATAATTAACAAGACGGCGAGTTAAATCCAAATCACCAAATTGAAAAAAAGAATTCATTTTCAAACAGCAAAAGAAATTATACAAAAGAAAGTAGTAGAGTATCAAGTTCATGATAGCGTATATATATTTAGTGTTTAGTATATTAACGTAAACTGGAATTCAGTCAACCAGCTACAACGTAGGACCAGGCACATGCAGACATCGGTCCAATTTGCCATACCTTACTCATTAGCACAACAAGATCAACACCGGATTCATAGAGGTAGTTAATTGAATGGTGGTAATATATAAAAGATAGATTGTATATAAGGATATAGTACAGGAAGGAAAACAGATATAAAGTAACTTTAATCTCACAATTTAAGGGAAGACAGATAATGTACACATCTACGCCATTGTGATCGATTCTGAGCCATGTCACACATAGTCTCCAACCATTGGTTTCAATAGTCACGTGGACCCCAACCAAGTAGTCTGCATCTAGCAACATGGCTCAGACTACAAGTTAGTAACTTTAAGGACTGATGCCAAGTTTCGGTTTGGCGAATCCTAACTCTCTTCCAGCCATCCACGATACTAGTCAGCATAGCACGTCGTGGTAATCGGTGTTCAGGCATACGTAACACGTGGCCCAACCATCTCAGTCGATGAAGATTCATCACCTCATCAACTGATTTACCATCATTCCCTAATACCCTGTGTATCTAACCTCGCTATTACATACCCGGTTATCCCAGCAGATGCGAGCAATATTTCTTAGGCATCTGTGGTCAAATACTAGTAACTTACGAGTATCTTTTACTCATAAAGGCCACGTTTCACAGTCGTAAAGTAGAACAGAGCGATCTGCTGCGTAGTATACTCGTCCCTTAATTGATAGACGGATATCTCATCATCGTCATAGGTGACGTCAGTTAGCAAAAGTCAAACGAACATGAACAAGATCAAATAATGTGTATAATTACAGGTAATCTCTCTCCCTACATTTTAATTACCAGTATACACACACATAGACTACCTGGTTGGGATTCGCGAGATGATAGCAACCGATGGTTAGAGATCTTGAATGACATGACTCAAAATCGTTTGCAATGGCGTAGGTGCATCCACTCGTTGTGTTCTCCCAAATTCGAATCTTCTGAATTCTTCATGTCTCTATCTTTTTTTCTCTTTCCAAATTTATTTCACCGTATTATACTTCTTCATTAACATCTTCAAACCCTTATCTTTCAACATTACTGCTTATACTTTTACTACTTCTATCACTATGGGATTTGAATCGACAACTGTATCTCTGTGCTAATGTAGTATGGCAACTCGAACTGATGTACGTACGTACAAAGTTCTACGTTGTAACTGACTAACTGATACACACATATACTACATAGAAGAACAGTTGAAAGATAGAGATAAATGTATTTCCAAAGGAAAAAAAAAGAGTACAATGCTTTTCATTATCCATAAAATGTACAAACGAAGTACCTACACACATATATGTAGATGTACGTAATTCATTAATTCATTAATTAATTAATACTCTAATAGTGCAAAAAATCAATAATTTGGTTCTATTAAAAAGAGAAATTACATTTATATAAAAAGGTGAATAATGTTTCTATGTAAGTGTACTATGTGTTTATGTGTGTGTGTGTGTGTGTAGGTGAATGAATATTTGAATCAATGATGACATTTGATGAATTTTACATAGAAAATGGTAAGTTGAAAGAAAGAAAAAAAGAAAAAAGTAAGTGTAAACAAATGAATAAACAAATATAATGAAGAGTAAATAAGTATTGGATAGTAGTAAAGAGAGAGAGAGAAAAAAAACTCTCTGTCTCTCCCTCCCGCTCGCTCTCTCTCTCTCCAATGATGGACAACAGATTTTGCACACACACACACACACATGAACTTTGGATTACATCAGATGTTTTTATACACAAACACACATGTATATTATGGTACAAAATGATGAAAAAAAATTGATATCATCGATTGGCCAAGAAACTGGGTTACCCTAATTGATTTTTAGAATATTACAATAATTACAACTGATGAAGAAATGATTTACTGCAAAGTTCCCAATGAAATATTGACGAACAATTAATAGATGGTTAGCAAACATGATTAGTGCCTAGCAGTGGAATCCAGTTTGACGCGCGTTTCGTCCTATTTGAGACTTGTCAGATGGATGTACCTGCATCTCAGATTTGTTGATGTTCACTCTGGGACTCAAACCCACTACCTTTTGCTCCAAACGCCATCGCGTTATCCACTCAGCCACTGAGTCCTGAGAGCCGCTTGCTTTTGCAATGGGTTGAAGTTGAAATTTACTTAGTATTGTTTGTTTGGATCTTCACGTTGATGTTTTTAGGACTGCAACTGGTCAGTCTCTAATTGGCATATGTGCATACTGTACGTATTACGTATAGAAGGGTTGTTTGTGGAGATTTTTTTAGAAATCTTTTAAATATATAGTTGAAATCATGAATCAATTAAAGCTAGACAACCATGGAAAACCTGGAAGCACTGCTTGACGGCCGTTTCGTTCTATTATGGAACTCCACAACAGTGCGCATCCACGATCTCGTCTCGCGAGATTCGAACCCAGAACCTACCAGTCTCGCGCCAGAGAACTTAACCAATAGACCACTGAGCCGGTATCCACAATAGGACGAAACGGTCGTCCAGTACTACCAGGTTTTCCATGGTGGTCTAGCTTCATTTGAGTCATGATTTCAACTATGAAAATACTGAAATCTCCACAAAACCCCTTCTGAACTTAGATGACTGCAACATTCTACATGGTTTTAAAACAACTGAATTCTATAGAAATACTACTCAGCATGACGGAATAACACTGACTATCTAGTACCTCTTCATGTTAATAAATATTTTTGTATTTTGCTCCGCATTCAGAGGAAGTTGTTGGCATATACAATGAAATTGTCAAGCGCCATTAATAGCGCTTGAGTTGTTGTTACTTATTGCACTTATTGGTAGGGTAATTCCTGTCTTAAAAATCTTTAAAAGAAAATTACGTTATGTATGGTTTTGAAAATCTGAGAGAGTAACTATAGAGACCAAAGGATATCAACCTGACACTGACATAATAGTTTTGTGTGAAATTCTTGGTGTTAGCTCTATAATTTTTAGACCATGCCGCCGGAGGCGGAAATTCGTCAGACAAGGTTGCTATAATGAGATAAATATTAAGTTAGGTTGAACTTCTAAAACTGTTCTATCCGAAGTTAAAGTATATATTTTTATTTCACAATCACTAAATATTTAAATTATAAAGTCTTTAGATTCCCATATATGTAAGCTCTTTCGTGCTGCATAAACTGTTGATAATGTGTTATACCTTCCTCTTACTGTTAATTAATTATGGACTTATTTATTTAAACATTAACATTGGTACGAGGAGGCACCAAGTATACATGCGCCACACTTCGTCATTCGATTTGTGGAGGGTTGGAATACTGCCCGGGTGCCCAAATCGAAGCAAGTGGTTTTCTTAAAGGGTCACACCCCGAATCTTTGACCTAGAGGTCTAATCCACAAGGCAGTGGGGCAACGTCAGGAAAAGTTGTTCCACGGTAGCCGGTGACCAACAATAGGTTCGTACACCATTTGTTCCCTCAGGATACTGGAGCCCATGTGCACCATTAGTTTGAAATAAGGGTTTTCCAACTTACCTAGGTGGATCCTCTATATCCACCAACCCGGTTAGAGCGCCGGACATATGCTTTTCGTTCTAATTCGGACTAACTCCATAGATCTCTTCCACTTATGGTGTCTACGTCAAGAGTGAAATGTCTTAACTACGTTGACCTGTGATCAAGATTTTACTCTTTATTATTATGAGCTGAGTCGTAAGATTGAACTGTCTAGTTAGAAGCTATCTACTTCCTGTGTTATGTTCTATTCTGAGCGAGAGAGCTTAGAAAAACAGAATTCTGGACCAACAGTTGTTGAGTATTGTTCATGGCTGATATCTCATTATCATCGTGTCATTAGTTGGCATGTTATGGGTACTAAATAAACAATATAGGAGAAACAATCAGTCCTCGGACTGGACTATACAACTGCTCTTTTGTAATAGTGGCCCAATCACACTGCCCCAATATAACTCAGGTGTCTGTTTCTTGTCGTCAGATAAAAGTTAAGGTGTGCTACTTTCAAAACCGACATTTCCTAACCCTTTCCTTTTGTTGTGAGGAGGTAGCACCGCTGTAAATGGTGATTGTGTGAAAGGAACACATTACGTCACATCGCGGCACAATCTGTAGTACAACTTCATTACAATTTAAGTTGATAATTTTAGAATTACAGTATTCCAAACGACATTTCTGACATAGTAGAACCTAAAGAAATAATTTTTTTAGCCAATATAGCTCTACTAGGTCATCACGATAGGTAAGGCCGACCACTCAGTTAAGGGAGCAAGTACGATCGAGACATCGAAGTTTACACCAATGAAATCTTTATGTTGGGGATTACTAACCAGTTGATGAACTCCTAGTACATGATCCTTCATTGGCTTGGTAAGTTGCATCTCAGAACACTATTAGTATTTTGAATAACATAAGTCATAGCACAATAATTGAACAGATACAGTCCAACAATCACTTGTTGATTTATTTATTGTTCCGAACAAATTTCTCTTTCTTTTCTACATACTATTTATTTATTTATACACATAAATATTGGTACAAGGAAGAACCAGATACATATGAGCCGCACAAATCAAATGAAATTTGTGTGAGGGCTGTGATACTGCTGAGGTGCCCAAACTGAAGCAGGTGGTTTTCTTAGGGTTCCATACCCGGACCCTTTGACCTAAAAGTGTAATCCACAAAGCAGTGGAACATCGTGAGGAGATGCAGTCACCTGGTAGCCGGTGACCAACGATTGATTCATACGCCATTTGTTCCATCAAGATACTGGAACACATGTTCACCATTGGTTTGGAATCAGGGTTTTCCAACACCCCTAGGTGGACTTTCCGTGTCCACCAACCCGGTTAAAGCGCCGGACATTCGCTTTTCGTCCTCTCAATTTCGTAAACAACAGTAATGTCACGAGAAGGCAGTGAGTAGGACTAGTGTGGCAGAGGCTATATAAGTGTGGCCATGTGAGGGCATTTGGAGTGGGAGAGTGAAATCTCCCCACTATCGGCCGTACCAGGGCATTTGGGGGCTTTTTGTTAATAATTCCTATAATATAATTGATTTCGGTAACGTAATACATATTTACTGGGAAGAACTTTTAAGGACTGATGAAACAACTGTCCATTTTCATGTGTCTTCTAATTATGGAATTGATTCATAAGATTTGCCCCAAAAAATATGCCAACCGAACGACAGGTCAGTTTTCAAGAGAAAAAAACCCTGAAAACGAGATTATTCAAAGAGCGGACCTATAGGAACAATCAAATCTGAAGAAAATATGCTTAATAATGACAATAAATAAAGTCTTGAAACATCGACTTAGTAATATTAAGGAGAAATTTTCATTAATTCACCTGAACATACAACATTTTATCCTAGAAGACGTCCTGTCAGTCAGTAAGCTACAACGTAGGACCAGGTACATATATGCATCGGTTCAAGTTGCCATACCTCGTTAGCATAACAAGATGAACACCGGATTCATAGAAGTAGTTAATTTAGTGGTGGTGGTAGTAGTATAAAAAAGATAGGTTGTATACAAGGTTATAGTATAGGAAGAAAGACAGATATGAATCAATTTTAATCTCAAGGTTTAAGGGAAGATAAAGAGTGCATACGCCGACGCCATTGTGATCGATTTTGAACCATGTCAAACAAAACATCCAACCATTGGTTACGATAGTCGCGCGGACCCCGACCAAGTAGTCTGAATCTACCAACATGACTCAAACTAGAAGTTAGTGACTTCAAGCACTGATTGAAGACGTCCAGGATACGAACAAGGTGAGAAGTTCTAAACAAGAAATGGGACAAGTTCCAAACCCCATTTATCTTTAATGACTTAATGCATTCATTATTAATAAAAACTATTTTAAGACTAAATAAAACATTTTGAAATAATCATAGACAATAAAACAAATTTATCATCAATGAAACTTACCACTTGGTGGTCCTATAATACTTGTCATATATTTTTGAGGAGTATCATCTTTTCTACTCAGTAAATTTAACACATTTAACACAACCGTTGGATTTTGTTGCTGTTCCCATTTTGTTATGCCTGCTACCGTTAACATGTGAGACCATTCTGGAGGCATACCCTATATTATTTATAAGGAAATCAACATATAAACAAGCATAATTATATACATGTATATATTGAGAGAGGCAACCTCCCAGTTAATCATTAATTAAATAGTAAATAGACAATCACCATCGAGCAGTCACTTGTGGTGGTAGTGTGGTGCGGTCTACTTATATCCATATACGTAGTATATGGTGTGAGTCAGACATAGAATGTATTTTGGCAGTAGACCGATGACGGAAGAACTGAAATGAAGCGCAATCGTTTGGAAAATGCACGAACAATGGAATTAGAGAAGAAACTGTGAAGATTGAAACAATTGGTTGTTAATTTGCAAATTGACTGTTCATTGTTTGGTTATCAGAATTTACTGAGATAGTCTGTAATCTTTGCTTAAATACATTCGATTGTCCCCAACTAGTGTTTTGTTCACTACAGTAGTAGTAGTATACCCCCTTCCCAAATACGAACTTGTAAATGCCATGATGAAAAAACAGCCAAAATGAACTGACTATCACCAACTGATTTGAATATCTGATATATATGATAATAATTTAATTAAACTGGGTGCGTGTCAAATTATAGCTATTGTTTAAACGTAGTAATAATTTAACAAACTAATATACAAACAATCAAGGTCCGAAGATTGATCGCTTTATATATTTAAGCACATAAATATTAGTAAAAAGAAGCACCGAATACATATGCGCCACACAAATCTCATTTGATTTGTGTGAGGGCTGTGATACTGCCCACGTGCCCAAACTGAAGCAGGTGGTTTGCTTAGGGGGCCAAAACCCGAGCATTTGATCTAAAGGTTTAATCCACAAGGCAGTGGAGCATCGTAAAGAAATGCAGTCCCATGATAGCCGGTGACCAACAACAGATTCATGCGCTTTTTGTTCCATTAGGATACTGGAGTCCATGTGCACCATTGGTCTGTAATGAGGGCTTTTCAACTCCCCTAGGTGGATTCTCCGTGCCCACCAACCCGGTTAAAGCGCCGGACATTAGCTTTTCGTCCTCTCAATTTCGTAAACAACAGTAATGCCAAGAGAAGGCAGTGAGTAGGATTTCCCTCAGTCAGTCAGTCACAACGTAGAACTTCGTACGTACGTACGTACGTACATCACTTCGAGTTGCCATATCACATTAACACAGAGATGCAGTTGTCAATTCAAATTCCATAGTGATAGAAGTAATAAGAGTATAAACAGTAATCCGAAAGATTACGGTTTGAAGATGTTATTGAAGAAGTATAATCCAGTAAAATAAATTTGGAAAGAGAAAAAAAGATAGAGACATGAAGAATTCAGAAGATTCGAATTTGGGAGAACACAACGAGTTGATGCACCTACGCCATTGCAAACGATTTTGAGTCATGTCATTCAACATTTCTAACCATCGATTGGTATCATCTCGCGAATCCCAACCAGGTAGTCTACACTTACCTACCAACATGGCTCAGTCCACTTTTCAGTGACTTTATGGATTTGTGACACGTTTTGGTCTGTCTGCTCCTAGCTTTCTTCCAACCTACTTCTACACCATAAAACATTGCACGTCGCGGCAGTCGGTGGTTGGGCATACGTAATACGTGTCCAGTCGTCTCAACTGATGAAGTTCCACTACTTCATCAATCGATTTGCCATGCTTACCTAGTGCCCGTTCCCTAACAACCGCATTACTTACCCGGTGGTCCCAGGATATACGAGCAATGCTTTGAAGACACCTATGGTCGAATGCTAGAAGCCTACGAATATCATCTACTCTTATGGGCCATGTTTCATTGCCATAAAGTAGGACGGAACGAACTGCTGCGCAGTAAACCCGTCCTTTGGTTGCTAGACGGATATCTCGCCTACGCCATTAATGACGCAAGTTGGCGAAAGCTAGACGAGCCTTCTGTATCCGTGCTGAGATTTCGTCACATACCAGACCACAAGGGCTGATGAGACTCCCAAGATAAGTGAAGCTGTCAACACGTTCAACTACTTCACTCCCTATCATTAGTTCAGGTGTCGATGCAACCTAATCCTGAAGTAACATTTTGCACTTCGAGGGAGAGAATCGCATTCTGAACATGCCTGCATAGTTGCTTATGGCGGTCAGAAGACTCTGCATTTTGTCATCGTCTTCGCCGAATAAAACTATGTCGTCGGCGTATTATAAGTCAACGAGTGAGCCTCCCGGTAAAAGTTCAACTCCTGGAGATTGAGATGATGAAAGCGTTATCTCTAAAAGCACGTCAAAGGCAAAGTTAAACAAAAATGGTGAGAGTGGACAGCCCTGACAGAGGCTATATACGCGTAGCCATGTGAGAGCATTTGGAGAGGGATAGCGAACTCTCCCCACTCTCGGCTGTTCCAGGGCATTTGAGGGCTTAGGGATTTATGTTTAATCTAACAAGCTCAGTTTGATAGTTATTTTGACAGAATGCAATGAAGAGTACCTATTAATTATCTGTAAATCAGTAATTGAGATATTTAAAGTGAATCTACTAACGAGTCGTAACGGAAGTTATAAGTCGAGATTATTTCATGTTATTAAGCAGCAATTCACTTTCCATTTTTAGTTTAGGTTGGCAACTTCCGAATTAAGACGATTGAGAAATTCATTTACTATAGAATGGTACTTGTGAGAATTGGATAAGTTGGAACACTGACGTAGAAACAAACCATAATCCAAAGCGCCATGATATAGGGTGAAGTCATGTAAGATGAATTGGTAGTCATCAAGATAACTAATTTTTTATATAATAAAATGACGTGCTTATACATAAAGTATTACCACAAAATGAACACAATTAAATATCATAGATGATTGACAAAAATTACTAGGTACCACATTCATTCTCCAATCAATTAAGATCTGGCTGTTAGGCATGATTTTTTGGGTATTATACCACATAAATTTAACATTAGTTGAGATATGATTAGATTCCCAAGTTTTTAAGAGATGGCAGACTTCACCGTTGGACATTTGATATTTTTGGATATTAGCAACATATAGTAAGACCTGAAGATTTGACAAACCTAGAAAATAGCCAATTATTTTATGAATGTAAAATTCGATTATTCAAAAGCAAACTAAATTTCCTTCAGTCAGTCAGTCACAACGTAGAACTTCGTACGTACGTACGTACGTACATCACTTCGAGTTGCCATATCACATTAACACAGAGATGCAGTTGTCAATTCAAATTCCATAGTGATAGAAGTAATAAGAGTATAAACAGTAATCCGAAAGATTACGGTTCGAAGATGTTATTGAAGAAGTATAATCCAGTAAAATAAATTTGGAAAGAGAAAAAAAGATAGAGACATGAAGAATTCAGAAGATTCGAATTTAGCAGAACACAAAGAGTGAATGCAACTTCGCTATTGCAAACCATTTTGAGTCATGTCATTCAAGGTTTCTAACCATCGATTGCGATTAACTCGCGCATCCCAACCAGGTAGTCTACACCTACCATCATGGCTCAGTCCACTTGTTAATGACTTCATAGATTTGTGCCACGTTTTGGTCTGGCCACCCCTAGCTTTCTTCCAACCTACTCCTACACCATAAAACATTGCACATCGGGGCAGTCGATGGATGGGCATATGTAACACGTGTCCCAGACATCTCAACTGATGAAGTTTCACCAAATTTCTTAAGAATCAAATATATCATAAGTTTTCATTAAAGAATAACTTTTCGTGAAAAGTTCTATATTATGAATTGAATGAGACGAAGTAAACGCCGCCATAAGACTATTTATGATTAAAATATAATGACAATTTTTGTCTTTTACATTAACACTGGAAAAACAATACTAAAGGCATTCAAGACACATACCTCAAATTCACCAGTAACTGGATCTATTGTAATGTGTACTTTATGCATAACATTGACTGGTGCTGATATATTAAGCATAATAGATGGTTTGAATTTTCCAAGTTTACTGGTACCACCTTTAGTTAAAAAAATAATTAGGATATTGTAAGAAAATCAATCAAACAATTACTTTTGTATTTCTTTTTGTCACGTTTTTCTTCTTCCACTGGTGTAAGTGGTAATGGTTTATTCGGTTTAAAGGATATATTTTCAATGGAACTAGAAGTAGAAATGACAATACAAGAATACACTTAGTGTTTATAATTACCTTCCAAGAGGTGCGCTTGTTGTCCTTAAAGGTGGTGCAGGTGTTCTGCCACCTGTAGTATCAGTACCACGTGTAGGATTATTCACCCAATTCTGAAAAACATGAAAAAAGGTGTTTAAGCATCAATTTTTTGTTCCAAGTGATATTCAGATATTCACTTTTCTGTAATCGAGAATTTAGTGGTAACCTTGATAACAGAAGGTAATCAGATGACGTTCTTAAACGACTAGTCCTCAAGTTAGTCTATAAATCAGAGGAGCAACATACAATAAGTAATGGTTCCCCTCTATTCCTACATAGAAAACCGAATATATTGACAAACATTTAGTTTTAAAGGAAACACTCCTATAACTTTAGGGCAGAAATAAGACTTCCATGGGAGAAACTGGGAAGATATGGTCATGTGTGTTTTTCGAGAAAGTTCTTCAGATAGTAACTTTAAGCAATTGTCTAATTTCCCTTTTCCCGTTTATTTACACTATTTTTGTGGGTCATCTCTGGATGATTAATTAAATTTTACGTTACTATGTACTCGAATAAACTGACTAGATAGACACGTGATAGACGCTCATTAACGATATCATTAACTAATACGTGAGTATAAAACACGTTAAATCATGCCTATGAAAAAACATTTTCATGGCTCAAACTAAGGATAAAACTTCGACCTGACAAAAACGTGTCGCTCAAACATATCATACCTCTAACAAGTTAAACGAAATGGTTAATAATAGTAGGAATGATACTAAGGTGGTAAAACTAATCAAAACAGCCAAAAAGAAACAAAAGGCATGGGATAATAAATTCCTTAAAGTTCAGAGGAATATAAGGAATGATAAAACTTGTACAACTGTAATTTAGTTCGAAACATAGTACATAGTCAGTGGTTCAAAGCAAAAGAATTCGAATTCCATCTGTTACGTTGCAGCTTGGAACTTCAGCTTCAATACTTGAAAAGTATCACTGGTTTCATCAAAGATTAGAGTACATGGTTACCTAACTGTAAAAAATATCACTTAATCCACAACCAATAAATACATATGTCTCACAGATCTTGACTAAGAAACTTACACATCAATGTAGCTTAGACCAAGGATTAACGATTATATGGATTGATGCTAATTCTTGCTTAGGCCGCCCTGAACCTTAAAATAAATAAACGCATGAACAGCTGTTAATACACAACTATATAGAGTAAATTACTCCGATGAAAGCGACAATGAGGAACACAATGAGTTTATGTACACATAAATAAACAAGATTTAGACTCCACGTTAAGTGGACTTGTAACTGTAACTACTTATATAATCCACCTTTAAATAATATAGAAATGAAGACACTGTCAAAATAGACTATCACTATTTCACAATACTGGTTTGATTCAAGCTATTACTTGATAATGTAAACAAACAATACAATAGGAAAAACATATGACTAATTCATCAATGGAAGAAAGTAGTTAATCTTCAAAACTATTATATTTCAGTTATCAGGACTAGCAAACATTTATGGTAGAATACTGCAAACACTAGAGTAGACTATGGAAACATACATCTACCACTGACCTATACTAAATGGAGATAATAAAACATTTAGCAACCAACGGACAAACATGTCAGCTTTAATGTTATTGGGTGCAATCAGAAATACAGCTTAGTTAACTAAGTAGATTTCTAATCAAACTTCAGTGGAGAGCAATAATTTTGAAATATAAGGGGAAAAACCAGTACATCAAAGTCACAAACATAGTTAAATCTGACCCTCGATTTTAATTACCAGTTTTTCCAGAAATCAATATCATGATTTAGTAATTATAGATACTAGATATGTACCCATAACTTTTGTTTTATAGTCACATAATCTGGTAAATTTGTTATTACATGTAGCCTATCCTTAACAAGGTTTCAGGTTGGTGTTACAAGTTGATAATTACTAATCTGACCATATACATATTAACTGAGAAACCTTTGCTGACCATCTCGTCATAGGATAAAATAACAATGTGGTGCAATTGTCAAGTACATGTTCGTGCACCTGGCTTCAAGCTACATTATTAATGTAAGTGATGCCACACGACTGACCTAATATAAAATGAGTGAGATTATAGTTAAAGGACGACCTTCAAGCGGTACTGGAGTGATCTTGAGAGTTTCTACTAATAACTAGGACCAGATGAAGATTATAAACCAGTGTGAGGAATAAGATTCATAATTTACAGTTGATGGTCAAGGTTAGGGATTAGATTTAAAGTTTTCATCGCGAACTGATACCACCTACAATGCCAAGACGGTATTTTGTCAAATGGATGAATGAATGTCGTACCAAAATCTACGACCCGTTATCTCATACCTACTAGTTCGTCCATAAATTATAGTCTTGCCAAAGAAAATGTTGAAAACGAATCCGTTACCTAGTGATTACCTGATGATACAATAAGCTACAGGTGAGATGAACAGTCGTTTTGATTATTCCAACTGTGAGTGACTAAATTGTGGAAGAGTACCCGATTTCATCCTAATAGATTTGACTCAGCTGATTACACGGGTGAGCAGAGAAGTGTGATCATGTACTAGCTTGAAACTCTAGTGATTAACGACAAATAGCTCCTACACCAACGAAAACAACGGACAAACAGTTTAAGGAATAAAAAAGCAATGGATGTTGTTGACCTTTTGAAAAAATTGAGTTCTTAAGGATAACTATACAACGCTTGGTACTGACCACCCAAGACATGTGTAATTTGGGCACTTATCCACTTAAGAAATATACATGTAACTTAAAACAGAATGGATCCTGAGGAAAAATCCGAGAAAAGTACTTCATTTGAAGAAAAAAATATGTTGAAACGATTGTGTTAAATTCCCTTATTTCCGCGGTATAAAGCAAATTTATATAATGCACTAATTCAACTGTGATATAAAAACACTTAAGATGAAGGAAGGTAGACAAACTAATCAGTGAGTATCATGAGGACATCTTAACACATGTTGAGATATCCTCAAATGGTCGATTATACCCGATAAAAACAAACATACCTGTGTTACTTCGGACCTGTCAAACTGAGAAGAGGCACTACCTCTATGGCCGTACGGAAAGCAGCTCATCATTTAAGTAACATGGGTTAAAAGAATGTTTAATTTATTTCCACATTGTAGCAGTCCCGAAGATATACCACAATACTCAATAGGCGCGCGCATATCCAAAGTCCAATATCTCTAGTCTTTAACGTTTTGGATAGAAGGTCAAATGATACGAGGTCGATAGTGCAGTGTAAATCCAATAACTTCTAAAACGTTTACAAAAAGTTTGTGGTAAACGATTTCATCCATTTACGACTTTATGGGAAATGAACATTTTGATGTAAAATATGTGGTTTTAATCTATGAAATCTGTGATAATTATCCTTTCAAAAGATTATTTGTAGATGAAAGAATATTCATGAGGCCATTTCTGAACGTCAATGTAAGTTATTTCATCTTTGATAGCGACCAATGTTATCAGTTCAGCTACATGACTACACTAGTTCAAGTGAACACGATAGTCATTTAGAGGTTGGTGTGTCTTCAGCATGAATGAATGTATTTGTATTTAGAAAGTGAAATTACTTAAATCAGTGGCTCACAATCAAAAAGGCAGACGACTTACCGCTCAAAACATGGTAAGTTTCAAAGTATGAATGAAGAAACTAGTGACGGAGAAAGCATTACTTATGGGATGGTCTCACAGTGCGTGACACTGGCATAGGTATTTGCCATTCAGCATATAGTTCTCTTACAGCTACTTCGTGGATTGCTCGATGGACACTGTTTAGCTCAGTTGTGAGTTTTTCAAGACATTTTAAGTTATAACACTGTAACATTACCCGAGGTCTTAATGTCTATCTGAGTACGTTTTCCCCAAAATACTGTGTCTCACTTTGTTGTAAACTTTCATTTCATGATAGCTCTATCTGTAAAAAAAGGTTAATAGGCTGATACGATTGTGATAGCATCTTCCCTTCGAGACCAACACGTTTGCTTTCTGTCCTCTGATCAAGGTTAGTTTGGCTCTGGTGATTTTACAAATTGTAGCTGGAACACAGAGCTAGTCAGCATAACCAGCATAGGTAGTATTGATTTTGTTGTTGTTATAGACTGTTAGGAAGGTTTAATGAATCGCTGCAAAATAACCCTTAATGTATATTAGTGATTTTTACTTGCGACTTGTTGAAATAAACCATTTGTAGTGACCTGGTTTTTTCAACAAGAACGCGATTAGTATAATAGAAACAATTATTATTATAACCAATAGTACCAGCGATTGTTTAACTGTACTCGTTTAACTGTATCAAAGTCTCGCTCAGCTATCCATCTTGTCTGGTTCGAACTTTCTTACGCTCTGCCCTGATTACCTGTACTCGTTGGCACTTCTCGGTATTCTTCCGATACCACGAGATCGCCAGTAAATATACTCTATCTGGACCAGTTGCAACTCCGCCTATAGCTCTTCTAGATTTACTACCGGTCCCAAGCCCACACAAAGGAGGAGGTTGGGCATGGGGTTAGCGACCCCATCCCGTAGAAAATCAACTCGCTAAAAAACGCTAACCAGAAAAAATAATAATTCAAACCATTTAAACTCTGCCCTCCAAGTTGAACGAATAATTATGACGTCTCATGATGAAAGCCGAAATTCTTCGGAAGTCACGAGACCGATGCACCTTCTAACAACCAGAGCAACACTCTTTATAGGTACATGGAACGTCCGGACAATGTGGGAGACAGGAAAGACCAGCCAAATAGCAATGGAAATGAGGAGATACAACTTGGCAGTACTCGGAATCAGCGAAACCCATTGGACACAAACTGGACAACAAAGGCTAGGTACAGGAGAGATGCTGCTGTACTCCGGTCACGAAGGGGAAAACGCTCCACACACTCAGGGAGTTGCTCTAATGCTGTCCAAAGAAGCACGAAATGCACTTGTGGGATGGGAATCTCATGGACCCAGGATAATCAAAGCATCATTCAGAACAAAGAAGCAAGGGATCACAATGAACGTTATCCAATGTTATGCACCCACCAATAATAGCAACGACGATGATAAAGATCAGTTCTATGAAAGGCTGCAATAAATTATAGAGAAGTGCTCACGAAAGGACCTCACAATCCTGATGGCAGATCTAAATGCTAAAGTTGCAGTGGAAAACCTAGTATATGAAGATGTAATTGGACGACATGGATTAGGAGAAAGAAATGAAAATGGGGAGAGACTCGCAAACCTATGTGCTTTCAACAAATTGGTTATAGGCGGCACAATATTCCCACACAAACGCATACACAAAGCTACATGGATCTCACCGGACCACACCACAGAGAACCAGATAGATCACATCTGTATCAACAACAAATTCCGAAGATCAATGGAAGATGTGAGAACCCGGAGAGGAGCTGACATAGCTTCAGATCACCACATGGTTGTGGCAAAGATGAGACTGAAGCTAAAGAAACACTGGACAACTGGACAAACGGCACTACAAAGGTTCAATACAGCCTTCCTTCAGTTGTTTGGAACTCATCACTATACATCAACTTCATTGACTATGAGAAGGTGTTTGACAGCGTAGACAGGAGAACATTATGGGAACTTCTTCGACACTATGGAGTTCCTGAAAAGATTGTCAACATTATAAAAAACTCATACGATGGACTACAGTGCAAAGTGGTGCATGTAGGACAGCTGACAGATGCATTTCCAGTAAGGACCGGAGTCAGACAAGGCTGTCTACTCTCCCCATTCCTCTTCCTTCTGGTGATTGACTGGATTATGAAGAATTCGACATCTGAGGGGAAATACGGAATACAATAGACTTCTCAAAATCAATTAGATGATTTGGATTTCGCAGATGACCTAGCCCTCCTCTCTCATTCACACGAACAAATGTAGATAAAGACCGCAAATGTAGCAGCAGCCTCCGCATCCATAGGCCTCCACATTCACAAAGGAAAAAGCAAGATTCTCAAATGCAACACGGAGAAAACCAACCCAATCACACTTGACGGCGAAACTCTGGAAGAGGTGGAAACATTCAAGTACCTGGGGAGCATCGTTGATAAACAAGGGGGATCGGATGCAGATGTCAAGGCGAGGATTGTCAAAGCAAGGGCAGCATTTCTACAATTGAAGAACATATGAAACTCAAAACAATTCTCAACCAATTTCAAGGTCAGAATCTTTAATACGAACGTCAAGACAGTCAGTTATACTGTATGGAGCTGAAACGTGGAGAACTACTACGGCCATCATCAGGAAGGTACAAGTATTTATAAACAATTGTTTACGCAAAATACTCAACATCCACTGGCCGGATACTATCAGCAACAGCGTTTTATGGGAGAGGACAAACCAGCTTCCAGCTGAAGAGGAAATTAGGAAAAGACGTTGGAAGTGGATCGGAAATACAATAAGGAAATCACCAATGTGCATCACGACTCAATCCCTAACTTGGAATCCGGAAGGGAAGCGGAAAAGATGAAGGCCAAAGAACACACTACGCCGGGAAATAGAAGCAGATATGAAAAGGCTGAATAGCAACTGGAAAGAACTGGAAAGGAAGGCTCAGGACAGAGTTGGATGGAGAATGCTGGTGAGCGGCTTATGCTCCTCGACGAGGGGTAACAGGCGTAAGTAAGTAAGTAAGGTTCATTTGCAGTCTTCTGATTTGCGAGTCATCGAGGGAAACAAGTCGTTTCTGGGCGCGTGATCTCATTGTAGTGGTGATCATAGTCCATCAAGACCCGACGCCATCTGCATTTGGTTAACCAACTCTACGAACACAATTCAACTTCAGACAATCTTCCAAATAAGATCAAAGCGGTGAGTCTATTATTTATCTATCCACATCTGTTGCAAGTATTCGTATTGATATTTTTCAATATATAATATTCTGGCAATTTAAGGATAAAAATAGCAATAGTATAATAGACTCTGTAGTTTAGGCAATAAGCTTTCGACTGGTTCTCTTTATCTCCCACGATCCAGAGGTTTGGTTCGCGGCACAGGAGTCTCAATTCGTGATCCGCCACATAACCAACCAATAGCAAAAATATGGCTATGCTCAGCAATCTTTACCTGTGATACACTTACCAAATTCTAACGACAGGCTACTCGTGTCTGTTTTAAGCTTACAGGTGACAAACGAAAGACCGATCGCCACATATGGTAAACGGTACGTCTACCTTAACGTGGGTTTACGCAAACCCATCCACTGGATCTTCGTTGTTGCAGATGTTTCTACGCCAATCATTTGTTAAACCTGCTACAATACCACAATCTACTCGTGGACACACGCAAACGAAGGTTAATAGACGGAAACATCAAGTTATCTGAGTCCTCTTTCTGGTTGCAGATTATCTCCAGTCACAAATAAGTACATCATGGACCCCTTATATCAACCATCACTCGATAAATACTCCTGGATATTTCAACCACAATCGAAATTGCCTTGTGTGACCAGCAATGTTACACATCACATCACGACTACAAGACCACCTGTGTTCTCGAAAGCACGACGACTGGCTCCCGAAAATCTCAGGTTAACTAAGAAGGAATTCGACTATATGATAGACTTAGGAATCATTCGACCTTCAAGTAGCCCTTGCACATGGTCCTTAAAAAAGACAGCAATGATTGGCGTCCAACTGGTGATTATCGGTCTGAACGCTAAAACCATTCCCGATCGTTACCCATTGACCCACATTCAAGATTTGACAGCTACCTTGAAAGGTACAACTGTCTTTTTGAAAATCGACTTGGTTAAAGCCTATAACCAAATACCTATGGCTGATGACGACATTCCAAAAACCGCGATAAGAACTCCCTTCGGCCTCTATGAATTTCGACGTATGCCTTTCGGTCTAAGGAATGCTGCTCAAACCTTCCAAAGGTTCATAGACGACGTCTTCAGAGGTCTCAACTTCGTACACGCGTATGTTGATGACTGTCTAATAGCAAATCCGAACAGAGAATCACATCTCCAGCATCTGGACATTGTTTCCGAACGACTCCAAAGGCATGGCATTACTGTAAACATGCAAAAATGTCAAACACGAACCAAATCGTTAGACTTCCTAAGACACACTGTCGATGCCCAAGGCATCCCACCTCTTAGGAGCGAAGTGGCGGCCATTCTGGATTACCCAGAACCGACCACGATTAAGCAGTTGCTCACTTTTAACATCCTTGTCAGTTTTTATGCTTATTTATATATTTTTAATCCAAAAAAACAATTTTTTACTAATGAGCGTATCATTTTTTTATTAAAAAAACAAAAAAACTTTTTCCAGTCGCTTTTACGCTGTCGCAAGCGTATAAATTTATCTACTTTTTTTCTTCTCACCTTGTGTCCTTACTCAAGTACTCACACGTTCTATTTTTTTCCAAGACCGCTGCAAAAGAACGATGAAGTTCATAAAGAACAGAGATCTCGATTGTACTTCGTCTTACGATTACTATATTGTATTTCATGGCCTGTTATTATAAGGAAAGACGACCAGACGCTGCCAAACATAGC